CTGAGGGGACGTTAGACGCGGAGCCCCGGCCCCGCCGCCGTCCGGTGGCGGCAGGAGCGCCTGGTGTGGAGCCGGGGGAGGCTGCTCGCCTGGCTGCTGGCTGTCGCGGGGGTAGGGAAGGGCGGCAGCCGGGGCAGAGCGGAGCGGTGGAAGTTTCCGAGTAGGTCTTTGGCTTGGGCTGGTTGAGAGGCTGTTGCGCTCTTTCTTCCGATGGCATCAACTTTATTTTCCTAGTTGTGATCCTACTTGAATATTCACCTTGTAGTATTTGAGCGGCTAGGTGGAGATGAAACGGATTCTGCTCTGGGAGCTCGTTACGTGCCTCTTGTGTAGGTCAGAACTGCGGCGAGTGGTTAATGCCCTTGTCTGGGACCGAGGAGAACGTGAGCTCGGCTTCCTCCTTTACCACAGGCTTTTGATTATAAGCTCGAGCTAGCTGCTGCCACAACTCATGGTTTGTTGATTTGGGTCTAAACTCTGTTGATACTGTTAAATCGGAAATAAAATACGGTGGTTTAAGGATCAAGGTAGAAGAAGTCGGATTAGTTGGCCTGAGTAAGCGTGTTTTGAGTAACTTGCCCACAAATCAGTCACGTGTACTTTAATTGCGAATCTGGCCTTGCTGCTGTGCACTTAAACAAAACTGTGTGCTTAAGCTGAAATGTTGATGCCAAGTCGTGAAAATATCAGTAAATTCAGACTCCACTTGATGCTTCAGAGGCATCTGAACTATTTTGGTGGTCTCATTATGTCTTCTGGCACAGAGTAGAAAAGCCAGTTACTGAAATTAATCATTGTCTTCTCTTATGATGCTCTCATCATGAGTGACAGATGCTGCATTAAGCATATTGGATTCAAGCAAAACATACTCCTGTACCCAATATATTTTGCAGGAAACTTAATCATTACTGATAGATGGCTCTTGTCAAAGAATGGCTGCTTTTAGTTCGAGTTGTTGGAAAAGACAAAAAAGATTAAATTCAAGAAGTCATAGTAATGAGGGACAACTCCATCCTGAAAGTTAATATGTGAAAATGATAAATGAAGAAGGCATTAATATTACAGAGAGGCTATTACATTAATGGGAGTTGTGCTCAACCCCACGGAGATAATGTGCTGGCTTCCAGCTAGTGCTTTAAAGTAAGTCACCAGGTCATACCTTGAAGATAAGGGAAGCCCCATAAAAGCATTCAGTATAAAACAGAAATGGCTTGATTTGTCAGGGAGATCAAGCAGGATATAGAAGCCAGGTTTTACATGACTCTCAGCTGAGTCCCCTGCAGCAAGTAGAAAGCTCCGATGTTTTTGGCAGGTTGTTTTTGTTTGGGGGGGGGAGTTTGTGGTAGTTTGTTGTTTGGTTTGGGTTTTTTTGTCAGCCTGTGAAGTGAAAACCTATAAAGCAGAGAGACTGGTGATCAAGGGGGAAGAATGTGATGAAAATGTTAAACTTGTATTGGACAGTTCTTTGAAGTTAGAAAGTTCCTGAAGTAAAAGGACTCTGAGCCTTGTAATGAAGAGCCTCCAGATGAGATGTTTCATCTAGAGAGTTAGTTTAAAGCTGGAATTGGCTTTTTTTACCACACCACCCCTGCCAGCTAGAAAACATCAGACCAATAAATGTGAAGCTGGTATGGCAAGGTTGTCATCCATAAATGAATGGCAGGGGGAAGCTATTGTTTATATGGTGTTGGCACTTGGTATCCCCGTGGGGACTTCATGGTGGTTTAAAAAAAAAAAAAAAAAAAAAGACTAATGGATTGGTTATAGCAGAGCTAAAGTTGACACATGATGTTTTGTTAAGGTTTATCAGGGTGGGAGGAGTTGTGCCAGTAGCTGGATCTAAAATTGCATTTATACCACTGTATTCACAACAGATAAGCAGAAATCTGTGTTTTAACATGCTCAGGCTTTTTTGAGAGATTGCTTTTGGTAGAATATTATTTTTGAATGTTCTGCAGAAAACTTAGTAAGGATGACCAGGCTTTTAAGTAGATAGCAACATTTAGGCCATTCATCTATTGCGCAAACCTGTCAGTGTATCTGCTGGCTTAAATAAGGTATTTATAAACCATCCCAGTGACCCCATAGTATTTAGAAGAGGAAGTCCTACAGTTCTGGGGAAATACTCTTTCCTGGCATGGCAAATTTGAACCTTTGCCATCTTGAACATGAGCGTGGTGATAGCCTTACAGTTACTCTACTTCTTCTTTTATTAGACTTGTGCCTGTCCAGTGAGTTAGACATTAAAAGTAAGAAATCCTGGTGTAGTAGTCCTAAATGAAACAAATTGCTAAGAATATTTGGGCAGTCAGAGCAGCAAGATTGTTTCACTGAAATTTGTCCAGGGGACTAGAAACAAAGCTCAACCTCAGCTGTCAGGCAGCCAGCGCTCCAGGGTGCAACTCTTTCAGCTTGCTTCTAGAAAAAGTAGCATACAGCTGAAACTGGCAGCTCTGTAGCTTGCATTCATTAATAATTTCCTGTCGTCTGAGCTGTTAGGCCTGTAGTAATCTTCACGTGATGTATCACCTTCTCTTTGGAGGCTTGCGCCGCGGTGTTGCAGAATACACAAGCCGCTTGCTCTCCAGTCGTGCCGTTCTCGCTGGTGTCCGTTCATTAATGGGGGGCCTGCTTTGCCTCCTGTTACAAGGTGCTCTAGCTTCTCTTGTCTTTTAGGCAGAGTTAAATTGCTGTCTGCAGCCACCTGAGGTTCACCTCTGCTGTTATCTCCTCAGCTGTTGCAGTATATTAGCATTGGCGACATATTGTAATGCAGCACTGAGGTAGCTCTTAACAAATCCTTTGTATCCACTGTACATCTGGATAACTGCACTTCAGGCCATCTCTTTGCGTGGCATGTTGCCAAGTCAGCATGGTTAGGCTTGTCAAGGATACTAATGCCAAGCAGCAAGGAATTTGGGATAATGAATCCACTCTGTGTAACACCAGATGCAATGCGTGGCCTTTGTTGCAAATTTATTCTGTTTTCATTTGCTTAACCTTTATGTTGCCATTTCTGCTCATGCCAGAAAACACATTCTCTGAACATGGAAGAACTCAAAATTTGATCACTTGGAAGCTGCTGCTCAAATGAATTGTGGTACAGTAGGCATGTCAGGAAAGAGAAGCAAAACGCTTGGATAATCAGTGTCTACTGGGAATATCAGGTCTTCAGATGACTGAATCATGAAATGCCAGAAAATCACCACAGCCGGATTAGAGTGTGACATTAGTTACTTCGCTGGCACTTGGCCAAGCAATCTGCTCAGACTCACTACCTGAAAAGTCCCCGAAGAAGCTGTGTACTCTGACAGATGTTGATTTTTTTAATACTTTAGTGTTTTTTATACCTTCATCAGCTTTTGTCTGCGTTTTTAAAATGAGTTGGTCTTGCTGAAGAAATGGCTTGATCCTCAGTTAGGAATCGGCTAGGGGTGCCAAGAAGCAGGAATAAGGCTGCGGGAAACTGGGTAAGGAGGTAGTAATTGGAGTGCTTGGAGAATGGTTTTGCTGAACTGTTTGGTGTGCCTTCTCATAAGGGCTGTGCTTTATTCTGATCTTAAATTTTACTCACTTAGCTCTTGGACTGAGCCGTGGCTACAGAATGGATCAAAGGGAAGAAGTGTTTTGCACAGACTTTAGCACCACTTAAAATTTTGGGAAATGTCCAAACGTGAGGAAAACTGTAGGCTGTACTTTTTCAAGTTAGTTCAGTTGCTCTTCACCTGGTATTAGAGGATGTGTATGCAGTTATAACAGTGGTTTTGAATTTATTCATTGTTTCCAGACATACTTAGTTTCAAGAGCTTAATAGAGACTGGGAAATGAAAATGGCTTTGAGATTTCTCTGGTTCCTGCCAGTATAGAGCTGCTTAATCAGCAGGAGGAGGAGGAAGGAGAGATGCCATCTGTGATGAGCTCTGGACACTTGCAGTTCCAGAGCAGTGTAGAAGCCTGACCAACAGATACAAGAGGAAATGCTTGCTGCTTTAGCATCTTAGATAGATTTTAACATCAATGTAGTATCCCTTTTTCCCCCCTGCGGTAATTAAGACTCTGCTTTAGGGAAGCTTTTTTTTGCCGTAATCGATTGTGGTTTATGCTATGTTGAATGCAGCTGAAATGGAAGTTGTATAAAGAATGAGATCATGCGGGTACTTGAACAAAGGTCAATAATTTCACATACTGGCCATAATGTTTAATAAATGGACATTACTTGTTTCTTTCTGGACATAAACCTTTCTTTACTGCACAAATCAGCAGAGGTTTATTTTAAGTACACTAACTTGTCTGTTTTTTCATGACTTACAAAGTGACTCGCATACAGCAAAAATATGCTTTGGATCCAGGGGAGGGGGAAGGAATGTATGTCTTCTGTAACATGTGAAGGCAGACACTAATTGCATGTAAAATGATGAAAGGCAAATAAAAGCTGTGCTTTCCTGCAACTTTATCATGACTGTCTGGGCTAGGCTTGAAAAAGAACATAAAAAAAAAGTTTTGCGATGTTTTTTTAATTGATTTCTCTGTTGAATACAGTTTAACTCTTCTCTCTTTCTCCTTTCATCAGAAAAATGAGTGGTGGGTTGGCACCAAGCAAAAGCACAGTGTATGTGTCCAATTTACCCTTTGCTTTGACAAACAACGATCTGTACAGGGTAAGTTTTTAAGAGCTGCCTTGTTCAGGTTAAACTTGTTGACAACAGTTCTGAATGTAAATAGAATACTCCTATATATCTTTTCCTTAGAAAAGTATGTCTTGATAAATTTATTACTAATGAAATGCAATTGTCAGTTCTTAAATCTTTTCATTTTGTTTTGTATTTCAGATATTTTCAAAGTATGGGAAAGTTGTCAAGTAAGTGACCTGATATGGCCTGCTATTTTTGTAGCTTTCATTTTAAATATTTAATGTCTTTGCTTCACTTGAAAGTCTTGTGCTTTTTATACTTTAAGTATGAATGTGGAACTGTATTGAAGTCCTGTTCATTTTTAATAAAGTATAAATTTAATTAAACAACTGGAAGTTCTTGCAGTTACATGCATAATGTAAGAATATTTGTGCTGGGGACAGGTTTTGCTAACCACTTCTTAAGAGCAAGCAGAATGTTGTCACTTACCAATGGTCTTTTCTCCGAAGTAGTTGAAACAATATTCTTCTAGCAAGTATTGTTTCCCTTCCCCCCAAACACCGTCTGGGACACAAGTGGCTAAGTGTGAAAGTGGGAGCTTCTACTTATGTGAACTAGATGTCACAATTCCCACAAACAGTTTGCACAATTGCAACGTACAGTTCCTCTATTTGTGGTTCTAGAGGGACTTGTTATTGTGACTGCTTAGTATTATGTTTAAGATTAGATGTAAGGCTGCGTAGTAATGGCTTTTAATATGTGGGGTATTCATGAACAGTACTTGTGAATACCTGCCTCTGTGTTCAAATGATAGAAATAAATGCCACGGTAAGGAACTTGCTGGTTTTGTTTCTTTATTTTTTTAACTGGTCAGAATAATGAGACTCAAGACTTCAGTTTTTAACCCTACACCAGCAAATATCTACTCTAACTTCTAGTAGCTGCTGTAACAATCTGTGAGATACAGAGCTACCTTCAAAGTCTTTGAAGTCTCAGGAGTGTGTTTCAGGTGACAAATAGCAGGAAAAGCCAAACTATAACTTTAGAAATATGTATTTTTTTTTTAATTGACCGAGAGGAAAACCCTTCTGTAGGGCTCTGGCAGACATGCAGTGACCAATACAACTGGGCACCTGTGGTCTCTGTTGTTGCCAGGGTGGGGTATCTGACATGTTTAAGTCGATTGCTGAACCACTGATTTAGAAAAATCCTGAGCAAAGGTTGTAGTAACACTGGTGTTTAACCATTGAGGGGCCTGTTTGCCATAAATGTGACACTTCTGACCTCCCTGCTATCATTTGGTAATGGGTGTTTGGGGGTAGGGGTCTCCTCCTGATTGGCTTTTGAACTTGTTTGATAGGAGGATGAGAATTGTATGAAGTATTGGCTGCATGATGTATTGCTTATTTCAAAGGTGTCATAGCAGCATTCTCTTTTTTTTCCTTTTTTAATAGTTTCTATCATTTTATTTGGTTTTTTTTTTTACTGTCATAGACAACAGAAATGGTGTTTTCAGATGCCTATGCAGAAGAAATCCTGCACTGCATCCTGTGTGAAAGTAGCTAATTTAGAACTTGCAATTCTGTCTGCGCAGTTGCTACTTTCCCCCACCTATATATTGTCTTGCAACAAATTCCCTTACTGACGTTCACTTTTTCCTGACATTTTGTCTAGTTACTGCCAGAAGTTAAACCAAAGGTAAAGAGTCACAAAATACCATGTGTAAAATACTATGATTTTTTTTTTAATCTAGCAAAATTTGTTTCCTGTTTGCCTCTGTGCAAGCTGACCTGACTATAAACAGTGGAGATACTGTGGGATTCTACTGGTATTCCCATTTCCCTGTGAAACTGAGGCTAACAAGGATCAGTTTCCTGTTTGTAGCTAGTCATTAATTCCCACGAAAAATCTTTTCAAATATTAACTTGATTTCTATAGAGTCTTTGTTCAGGGACTTCAAAACACTTTGCAGAAAGCTTTGCGATGACATCTAGGTCAACTTTAACTTTATTTAATTAAGCTTTATTAGACTTTTTTTTTTTTAAGTGTGTCTTGACTCAGCAAAATCATGCTGACTTTTCTTCTGTACTACATTTGTTGCCCCAGTATATCCTGGCTATTATGGTTGCATCTCAGTTTGTTCAGTGAGAAATCAGACTTTCTAGGGCTCGAAGAAGTTGCTGACTTCTTAAAGATTTGTCACACTTGTTTCTTTCTATGCTTGTGTTATTAACTGGTACGTCTGATATCCCAGTTAGAAGCTTGACAGTCATATTAGGGTTCCATTGGAACTGTTGGAAGAGTAACTTGGCAAAAGAATTAATAGAATTGTTCCAAAGTCGGCTTTATTGACAATTCAACTCAATGCATTCAGTTGGATGCATCCTTGTTCGAGAGGCTTTGGCAGAAAAACTGTTCTAAGCTCTATCTTTCTGTGCATGTATTTGGGGGAAAATTGAGCTTTCTTTACTGAGTTTTTATTTTATATACTTTTTACTATGTAGGTCATCTGTTACTTATACAGGTTTGCTGGTAGGCCTTCTGCATTGAAGTGGGGCTGGTTTATTTGTTTTGGTGTGTTTTTTTTTTTTAAAGCATCCTATTACGTCTTACAATTTTGGCTTGCCCTATGGCTGAACCTTGTTCTGCCTGTGGTGGACACAAGGAGGAGTTTATTCCCTACTTTTTAGCATGTGCTTTTATTCTTATGTACATGCAGACTGGTATCCTGTTTCCCACTGTTTGTTTTTTTAGGGCTAAATACAATGCTGTTAAGATTGAAAGACTTGAGGTTGTGTGGGTTCCACCCCTGCTTCACCTCTTGTCATTCTTTTTCTTCATTGTTTTTACTGGGTCTAAATCTGTCTTGAATTTTTTGATGTGCTACTGCAGCTGTTGATTCCAATGTTAGACTGTAGATTTAACTTTATATGTCATGCAAAATAACACATGCATCCATGACCTGCTTGGATTCCAGTTGGAGATATTTGTAGAACAATGCTGCATATACGTATCGTTTTCTCTCGTGAACCTGTTTAGCTGGTTAGTCCTACCCGAACATAGATTTCTCAGTTTGGGTGCGGTTCAATACATTGTGTTTTTCAGCAATGATAGCAATGGTCAAGGTTACTCCTGAATTTTAATTTCACCTCCAGTATGTGTAGTTCCCTCCAGTTAGGTTGTCTGCAAATCTAAAGAGTATGTTCTCTGTTCTTCAAGTCATCCAAGGGAATAAAGAATGATACTGGACCCAGAAGGACCCCACATACGTTTTGGGTTTTTTTGTTTTTTGGGTTTTTTTGGTTTTTTTTGTTTTTAAAATCATCTTCACTCTACCTGTAAGCATATGGCCAGGTTAGCTCTTCCTTTGAATTTCTGTTTAGCGAGCCTTCCTGTTGTTAAACATACTTTTTCCTTTTTGCTATATAACAAATCTAAGATCCCACTGAGATCTTTAAGGAAAAAATGTCTCTGAAGTAATTTTAGTGTATCAATAATGTGGTTATATGTTTTCAGAGTTACTATTATGAAAGACAAAGACACCAGGAAGAGCAAAGGAGTTGCCTTTATTTTGTTTTTGGATAAAGAATCTGCACAAAACTGTTCTCGGGCACTTAATAACAAACAGGTAAATTGTGGAAAGTTGTTATAGCAGGAGGGTTGGGTTTACAGTCTCAAAATATTTACCTTTTTTTTTTCTTTTTTTTCCAATTTGCTGTAGCTGTTTGGAAGAGTAATAAAAGCAAGTATTGCCATTGATAATGGAAGAGCAGCAGAATTCATTCGCAGGCGTAACTATTTTGATAAGTCTAAGTGTTATGAATGTGGGGTGAGTAAAACCAAAAATGAACTAATATATTTCATCTTTTGAGTCTGTTGTGGTTTAACCCCAGCTGGCAACTAAGCACCTCACATCTCCTTGCTCACTCCCTGCCTAGCGGGATGCGGGAAAGAGAATTAGAAGGGTAAAAGTGAGAAAACTCGTGGGTTGAGATAAGAACAGTTTAATACTTGAAATAAAATAAAATAATAATAAATGGTAATGAAAAGGAAAATAACAAAGAGAGAGAAATAAAACCCAAGAAAAACAAGTGATGCAAATGAAAACAGTTGCTCACCACCAACCAACTGATGCTCAGCCAATCCCCGAGCAGCGGCCACCCCGGCCAACCTTCCCCTGAGTTTCATTGCTGAGCATGATGTCCTATGGTGTGGGATCAAACTTGGGTCAGTCGGGGTCGGCTGTCCCAGCTGTGTCCCCCCCCCCCAACCCCTTGTGCCCCCCAGCCTCCTCGCTGGTGGGGTGGGGGGAGAAGCAGAAAAGCCCTTGGCTCTGGGTAAGCACTGCTCAACGGTGACAGAAACATCCCTGCATTATCAACGCTGTTTTCAGCACAAATCCAAAACACAGCCCCATACCAGCTAGTATGAAGAAAATTAACTGTACCCCAGCCAAAACCGGCACAGACTTTTAGCTTGTTTCTTCAGTTTGGCCATTACAAATCCTGCCCATGCTGTTAAATTAATTTTTTTCTGTTGATATTATCAACTTGCGTAGCAGTTGTACCATTTTCAGGAATGATAGTACTGCTTTTGGTTTTTATTTGAGATTTTGGGAGTGGGGGAAAATGAAAATATGTATGTATAACTGCTGCTTAACACACTGATGAGCAGACTGATCTGAGTATCAGTATAATGCTGTCTGAGAAGGAAAACTTCCTAATCTTTGCTTCAAAATACTTGCTTTTGCTGTATCTTTGGAAGTTCACCCTACAGTTGGCAGTAAAATAAATATTGGAAGCAACTGTTTTTATACAGAAGTGTGTTTTAAGTTTTAGGCAATTCCTCACTTTTCCTGAACATAATAACATAGGAGATTAAGATTTATATAGTAGTTAATGTCAAATACAGACTCATTTTATATTCGTACACTTTTTAGAGCAAAAGTGGTGATTCACTCCTGTTTCTTAAACTGCTAATGCTGAGGTTTGTATCTTGTCTTGAACATAAACCGTGCTGTAGTATATTCAGCTATTTCAGCAGCCAAAAAAAATCTACTTTGCTCATGGCTTGTTCTCAATTTGCAGTTAAACATGCATATCACCACCAATCTCTCTGTTTCCATGGCAAGCTTATAGAGAAGAGTTTGTCTTCTGTGTGCTAATTCAGCATTCCATTTATCTTACTAATTGCTTCCATTTTTTTCCGTGTGAACTGTCTTACATTAACTTTCCTCGTTATATGTTTTAACATATAGTTGTTTGTAATGGTTTCTGTTAAGCAGTATTTCTTTTTCTCCAAGGAAGCAGGACACTTAAGTTATGCTTGTCCTAAAAATATGCTAGGAGAGCGGGAGCCACCAAAAAAAAAAGAAAAGAAGAAGAGAAAGAAAATAGTTGAGCCAGAAGAAATGTATGTATATTTATTTACATGTTACTGCTTCTTTTAGGAAGCTTTTTCATACTGAATACTTAAAATAAAGATCTATATATTTCTCTCTCTCTCTGCGCGATGAAGCGAGGAGGAAGAAGAAAGTGAGGAGGAAGGAGAAGATCCTGCTCTAGATAGCCTCAGCCAGGCCATAGCTTTTCAGGTACAAAACTGAAGCATTGCGCATTTATTACTTATTATTATTTAAACGCAACTCTACTTCCTTTTTTATCTGCTTTTCAAAAGTTCTGAGATACACCTCTAAGTCTGTCCACCCTGTAGCACCCAGGGCACTCTTGCCTGGCAGTAGTTGGTGGCTATAGTTGGTTTCTTCATATTGCAGGCATGTTCAGTCTTTTTTTATTATTATTTTTTTAACTGTTTCACTATTGCTGTGTTTGTGCTGTGCTGCTGTATTAGGTTTTTGGTCCACAAGTCCCTCTTTACTTTGTTAACTGAGTAGCCAGAAAAATAGTCATGTATAAATGACCAGGTGCATCCTCTGCCCTCACTCAGTAGAATATGCCTGAACAACATCTGTTTCTGGAGCACTTCCTTTGCCTAGTACAGTCCATCATGGTCTCTAACAGACCTCTCAAAACCTATTTAACGCATTTTTTGTTATGTAGATAGATAGTCTGACAGTTGTATTACTATCTCCTTTAATACTTCTTTACAGGCTTTTGCTTCACTACACAGAGCAAACCTGTCCTGGTGTTCAAATTTCTTTGTCCTCAGCTGTCCCCCGTGTGCCCCGTCTCCCCCAGAAAAACCCTCAAGAGGTTTTAAGATAACTTTGTCCTGAATATGACTGTAATGAGTGCAAAGCTTTTACGTGATGTAGTCCAAAAAAACTGATGCAAATATGCACAATTATCCCCACCTCACCTTCAGAAAACTCCACAATTGGAATTAAAACCTGTAAATGTAAGCAAGCCAGGAAACTTTCCCATTTCTCTTGCCATTCAAAGATTTTAACTGGGATAGCATATTTCCTAGTAAAAATACGAAGCATCTATTTAAACCTTCAGTTGAATAACCTTTACATCCCTGAAGACATTCATTCCCTGACTGCAGAAGACAACTGATAGAAGGCTTGTTAGTGGAACAAAGCTGATTCAATAATGTCAATTTAAAACACAATGCATTCTTTGCTTCAGATCTCAGCTGCTCTATAGTTCTGTAAGTTTGTCATGGGCGAAAACAGAGAGTACTCCATGTGGCCTGCATTGGTGCAGAAGACTTAGTGTTTGCATGCGAGAACTACTTTCAGAAATGTTTTCTAGTGCATTCATTGCACAGTTTTATCTGGAAATGGAGATAAACCCTTTGAATTCTTTAACTTATTAAATACTTCAATGCATATTAATAATTAGCATTGTTATTTATAATGCATCTTAATTTTTCTTAATCCTAGCTAATACTTCTCCTTCTTTCATTGCAGCAAGCCAAAATTGAGGAAGAACAACAAAGATGGACGCAGACTGCAGGGGAATCTTCAATTTCAGATGATTCAAAACGTCCACGGATTAAGAAAAGTGCTTATTTCAGTGATGAGGAAGAACTTAGCGATTGAAATAATACTGTTTTATATGCATATATAATATATATAGTGTACATTTTGTAAAGTCCTACAAAGTTATCAGTAATACAGGTTTGTCTTGGTTTGAAGACACTTACTGAAGATCATTTTCCCCCGAACCTCCTATCTTTTGATATCTCTCTTTCAAAACTTCACCTTTCGAGGCAGCTTCTTGAGAAAATGATGTGTTTCTATGCTTAAATCTAGAAAAATATCTGGGAGAGTGCTTCTTGTAGTTAGTATCTAGACCCAAACCCTGGGAGTGAAATCTTTCATAAAAGAATTTCCCAAGATTTTTTTCCTAAGATGAGTTCCTCTTAGGATCACTGTTAGCACCACTGATGCTTTATGTATTAGTCTGGTTTTTGCCTGTTTGGAAGCAGTGCTTTAGTGGTACTTTACTAGTATATGAATCTTGCACTAGTTCCTCTGCATAGGGTTGAATTTCAGCCTTAAGCATTGTACTAGTCTTTTAACTCTTCATGCAGTAATAAAATAAATTACTGTCACATCAGCTTGATCTGTGAAATCATTCTAGACTAAACAATGCATTTGTCTGTTTTCCAAGAGGATATTAAGATGTTGTTCTTGCATCTTATGCACAGTTTTAGTAAATTGCTGTATACTTCATAGTATTATATAGCCTGTATAAAATATAGGCTTCATAGGAGATGCAAGTTAAAAGTGATGTGGTAATTAGTTTAGTCTTGAAACATACTTAATATTTTTTTAAGAATGATAGTTCTGTTGCTCTTGCATTAAAAATGAGAATGGCCTTAGGTTTTAAAAATGGGAATGTGCATATGTTTTAATATGCTCTAATCTGATATTGAAGGATTCTTGCTGTGGTAAGGGCTTATATTGCACTGTTTCTCCTGACTGCAGTTTGGGTGCCTAACATGGTAATTATGGTTATGCACGGGGTTTTAAATATACTTGTGTCTTAACATGGATCACAGTCCAATGTTCTCAGGTATCTGAACCTGCTGGCAAAATCTAAAAGGCATAAAGTTTCCTGCATGCTTAAAAATCAGCTTTCATGTATACTAGGAAGTGTCATGGTCTCTAAGCAGTGTGTTGGTGCCTATTTTGCACCTAAAGCTGTTCAGATCTTTTTGCATAGGGTTTCCATCCTTAAATCTCTGTAGGGTGCTAGTCACATTCTCCTAAAAAGCCTCATAGACACATTAGGAGAACAGTACAAAGCCTTGCAGCAGTGATCACTCCCAAAACCACAGACACACAGTGATGGTGGTAACCCTTTTGTATTGGCCACTTTGTGTAGTCAAACTTTTGATTTTTAGGAGGCACAATATAAAACACGTTCACACTTTCACACTTGGAAGAAGAGACCAGCTGGCCTCTGTTTCTATTTTGAGCTCTTCCTGTTGGTTATTGAGACTTGGGTTTTTTCCAAATATAGAAAATGTAAATCCAAATATACCATTATGTATTCTTAACCAGTTTACATTCAAATATATAACTGGGTGCAAAGCAAAGAGAGACACACACACACACACAAGACACCCTGTAAGCTAGTATAAAGCAGTCCTCTAAGCTGATATGAAGCAGTCACATTCAGAAGGTCGTTCTGGGGTCTTCTGTTGCTACTTTTACAAGAATTCAGAAACAAGAATAAGGTAATAAAGTAAAAGATTTTTCTGTACAAACTATTCAAGCCACAGAATGGGGAGAAATACTGGTCTTTATACATAGGAAGGTCTTGGACTCAGTAATCCAAAGAATATTAAGTCTGAAGCTTCCTTTACTGTATTTCGGAAAGATCTCTTGATAGTGAACAGCCAAGTGCCAAAGTGTCAGGTGTAACTTAGTGTTAATAAATGCAAATCACTGTGCATCATGAGTGTAATAATGAAGACTGAGAAGTTCTAACTCTGCTAAGGAAGAAAATCTTATGAAATGAAGCCAGCATGCTTCTCTGCAAATGCTAGGTTAGGGCTCAATGGCATTAAAAAAAAAAAAAAAAAAAAAAAAAACCCCCGGAGAGAAAAAAAAAAAAACAAAAATATTATGCCACTACTTAAAATCGGGGTTTGTCGTCTTCTGCAATACCATGTTTGATGGCGTTTTTAAAAAAAAAAACAAAAACCTAAAATGTGACAGAGGACCAGTTTGACATTGTCTGTGACTTTGATTTGGGAACGTTCGATAGCTTATAAGAATTAAGGTTTCAATGAAGTCATCAGGCAGCAAGTTTCAAACTTCTATTTCATTACACTGTGTAATGTAGTAGTGGAACTCACTGCTATGAGACTTTTTTCAGGGTCATAGGGTGAAAAGGATTAGACTTATATGTGGAACATGATATTTAATATTAGTTTAAATACAGTCTCCATTCAGAAATATCGTAAATTACTGACTACCTCTAACTGTAAAATATATAGAGATATTAACAGTCTAGGAATGTTTTATTCTTATATACTTTACTGTTTCATATTTGCTACTGGTGTGTTGTCAGAAAGAATAAAAAACAAAACTGCCCTTTGTTCTGACCTCATACAGTACTTTTTCAAGAGTTCCAGTAGCTGAAGCATGTAGATACATCTTTCTACTCTGCTGCTTCTGCCTCACTGCTTTCCCTGTAGGATTTGCTTTTGTCAGCATGAAGCAGTAGCTCAGTCCAGACTATTACAACTGACCCAGTGCTGTTCCTCCATGCTCTTTTGTTCCAAGCATAAAGTCACTTGAGGCAGGTGACATTGGAAAAGAAACAGATAAAAATGAGCCTGCTTCCGTGAAGAATTGGCATCTAGAATTCCTTACCTTAAATCATCATCCTTTTAACAGGTTTTTTTTTTTTAACTCTGAATTTCTATTGATTAGCAATGCTTTTAGGTTTTGGCTTAGAGTCAGGATGAAGAAGAAAGCACCAAGTGCTGAAAACAGGACCTAGAGGGACTTTGGAGGAGTAGGATTTTTGCACTTTAGTATCCTGAATCATTTTAAGTTTCTATTCTTTGTTGGTAAGACAATGAGCATCTGTAGGTGAGAAATTCAGAATGCTAGCGTTAGTTAACCATTAAGTTAGATAGCGTGAGTACCTGTTCTGCTTGCTTAAATTCAAAATTGTTGCCTGCAGCACGCCCTGATGCAGCTGCCTCATTCTGGAAAAAAGCCAAAACTTGTCAACTAAGTCGCTTTTTGATCTTTGAACACCAAGGGGTTTGCTCCTGTTGGTGCCAAACCTCCCCTACTCCAAGCAGCATGGCTTCAGGTTTCCGTCTGAGTCTGATCAGTGCTGAGAAGCGAGGTGGAGTGTTAACTAGGCTCCTAATTTAGATCAGGCCAATAGAGTGCAATTAGTTTTCGAAACTTGAGCAACAGAGTGGTGCTTTTGTCAGTTTGGTATCTCAAAGCACCAGCTCAGGAAGCAGAAAACAGCTTTGGTGGCTGCATGGCTCTGGGCCAGACAAACGAGGCTCTGTAGCCATGTTATCGAAAGAGAGAAGAATAAAAAAACGCCTTGTAGAACACCTTCCTGTTATTGTTAGAAAAACCACAGGGGGTTGGGGGGGGGGTGTTGGTCTGGGGTTTTTTTTAGTACTTTGAGGACCTAGCTTAGGCTAGCAAGCTGAATGCTAGTTTTAGAGTATATATAATGTAGCTCTGATTATAGAGAAAATTACATTAAGTGGCGGGCAGATTTTTTTTTTTAAATGGTGTCAAAAACTTGGATCTTTCCGCAAACATCCGCTTACTAGATTTTGTCTTTCGTATTTTCAAAACAGCTTCAAAATTGTCAAAATAATGCTTTGTGTGTCATGGGACGGACCTCTTGTCTATTGTAATGGCTAACCAAGTAGTGTCTCAAAAGAAGATAACTTTTATCTGTCCTTGGGGAGGAAGGGGCTGTGAAAGGGGGGACAAGGATGATTAGCTCAACTGATTATAATTGGTATTACTCACTGTGCCTGTGCAGCACTTGTTAAACCATTGCAGCTATGAGACACTGGAGTAAATTTAGTCTGTGTTTAGCAGGCTCCCACTATGTTCTTGGCATATTCAGGTTACTACTCTCAGCAGAGCAATAGAATGGGCTGTAAATATAAAGAACTATGTGTAGCTAAATAGGTGATGTCTGGAACAAATTGTAAACACTTTATCTTTGGCTATCTGGGTCACCGTGTTCTCTGGGATAGCCCTTTTTTAATCTGCAGAGATGACTTATTGTAGCATAGGAAGGTGAGCTGTGCATGCTGTTTGGCTGTAGTCTTCTGAGGCACAATATATTAAATTACTTAGAAAAGGTAGATGTAAAACGTGATATCTAAAAATAGGATTTAGTGAGCGCTACTGTGAATGTTTAGAAGTTACTAGTATAGAGACCTCTTCGTTTCCGCTTTCTATTCTGTTTGGCATCTGCGGTGTCAACATGGTAATATATACCATCACAATTCCACCATTGCTCTCCTAGAAAAATATTTCAAATAACACTCTTCCAGATGCGTTATCTTAAAATAACTGGTATTGGATAGCTGATTGCTTTTTAGTATAGATTACAAAACTGTCTTTAGGTGTCCTTAAAATGTTCATACTAAACAGCTTTGTTTATCTGATGGATCTTAACAGGGTGAGTTTTTTCTGTAGCTGTTGATGGCAATATTAAAAATTACTACACTGTTCCTTCTTTAGAGAAAAAGGTGTAAAGTGGAGGGTTTAGTCACTCTCAATGTAGATGACCTTGTTTCTTGTGTCTATGCTGGTGTCTGTAAAATGTGTCCTAGAAGCGATAAACTGAGGAGATTCTGTATGTAGAAGTATTTTTTAAGTTGAAGAATTGTACAGGTTTGTGAAATAATGTTTCGTCAGTGCCAAGCTAACCCTGCCCCTGCTGTGCATTCAGATAGACAAGATGCGTGCTTATACAAGTCTTTAATGGATGTGATGATAGGTTGTGCAGCGAGCAAAGAGTTACAGAAATTGTGGCAGTAAAATGTGATAAAAGCATGTGTGAAAAATCTAACCAACCCGGTGAGGCAATGTAGGTCACAGTGGCTTGAAGAAATACCACAGTTACTAATATGAGAACCTTACCGTCTGATTAATAGGATGCTCCAGAGAATCAAATGCAACTCGTGAGATTATGAGTCCCTCAAAGGCAACAGCCACAAGCCTGCGTTAAGATGAGCTGATCCATGAAAATTCAGTTTAATCAATATGCAGTTAAAGGAAATTAGAAGGCATCCAAATTTAGATACTGCATCAAGCTTGGTGCAGTACAGCGAAAACTGTCACTTGGTTGCAGGAGTAAAGATGCATCATTATAACTGTGTATGTGGTAGCAGAGGAGGTAGACACGTTCTGCCCAATGAACAGATGCGGCTATGGAAGAAGGAGAGACCCAAAATAGAACCAAAAAGGATATTAAGGACCGTGTGGGTATGCTGTGAAGTTCCAAGGCACTGAATTGTATTTTTAGAGTGAATGGGATAGAACTGCTTGTACTATGTTGTGCTTAATTGAAGAATGAGTGTCTTATCTCTGAAAATTGTGAACCTTTTGGTAGTACAAGGTTGTACTGATCTGCAAATGTTCAAGAAAGGGAGAGGAACTAAAGGAGGATACCGTTCTCCAAAGGACCTCACTCGGGATGCCCTTGATGTGCGAATTAGATTGGGTGGCAAAGAGCCATCTGCCCATGAAGCCTGGAGCCATGAGGGTGCATATAAAATGAAATGACTTAGTAGCATATGGCAGTTAGGAAAGATGAGAACATGCAGTACTTGGACGTGATGGTTTTGAGTTCATGAACCATGTATCTGGAATGAGTGATTGTAGTCCTTGAAATTATGTTCTTTCAAAGAAAGTTTTTGAAAATTCAACAGCTAGATTTATTTTCATCTGCTGCAGCATAACATTTTTAAGAAGTGTTTTTACTGTGGGAGGCTTTCACAAGAAAAGCCTGACAGAGGAAACTCAGATAATTAAAATCTGGAACACAGTTCTGCAGCAAGGGTGGATTCTCTGCGAGTCCCGTGCCTGTGGCATCCCAGAGAATGCAGGGCCCCGGGGCATTATTCATGTTCATATTTAATTTAGCTGAAGCTGCTGGAGAATGTCCAGGATCCTCTCCATTTGCTGCACAATTTAGGTCAAGCCCATGATGGAGTATTTGAGTTCAGGACAGAGTAGCCTTCGCAAAACTTTAACCTTTTTTTCACTCTTCTGTTATTTGTGCTCCAGTGGTGGATTTTGTAGGATATTGCACACACGTCGTATGCCCGCTAAATATTAAAAGAGTCCAAGCTACAATAAGTTATTATTACTCCTGCCCACTTACTGCAAATTTGGCGTGGTGTTCTTCCTTAGGATTCCGTATGAGTGCAATCATTACTTCAACCTTTGAAATGGCAAACTGGTTGATGGGAAGGCACTGAGCTCCCTTGACGTGAATGTGGTCGGAGCTCTGCACACAGGTTACTCTGCTCCTTCGAGGACGGGGCAATCAGGAATTCTTAGAACAGCATCTTCTGGATGCAACTTCACCGCTCCTGGGGGCTAGGAGCCAGGGGAGGAGGCAGGCAGGGCAAAGACATGAGCAGGCCAAATGTCCATGCAGAATAAGCGTATATCATTTATGCTAAATGCTTTCAGGTTTCTTTCTACAGATTCCGCTCTTAACAGCACTTTAGAT